TGATTTGAGCTTTAAATTTATAGTGCTTATGTGAATCATCAACATTATCTTGACTTTGTACCATGTACCAGGTTTGTTTGTTTTACAGAATTCCAATTTGAGCAGATGGGTTCATCACTTGATCTTAGGCATGCTTCTTTATACTATAATAATCCTTAGAACTGCTAGCTAGTTTTAGATTTTACATGATTTTATGTATCGAGGACACTCAATTAAAGGAAATTTGGCATTAGTGATTGCGACTTCCTCTGTTCTGATGATGGTACTTTCCCCTGTTATTGTGTTTTCCCCTTTTGCTGCTGGCTCTGTTTGTCTTTTGCGTTGTAGAACCACTTTCACTGTACCTTGATCTTTAATGCTAATGAAATGTTACTGTAAGGACAGGTCCGAGGTGCCCAACCTCGGACGAACGACAGTAATTCCTTTATGACCAAAGTGAAGGATAAATCCAAAGATTCCCGCTCAAGTATCTGCATGGCAGCAATAGTAGGCATGCCCACACCTGATCCTTTATGATAAGCTGCACAGCAGTTACGATGGACATCCTTGCATCTGAATATCTCTCAAATTCCTGGTCCCGAAATAACCGTATAGAGATACAGACCAGATCCCGAATATCTTGCTTGGCAGGCCACGTGGGTTCCTCATTGAAACCTATAAATACCCCCCAAGGGCCACGTCAAAAAGGTGATTGAAACCAACCCTAAGCTCTTTTCATCTCCGCTCTAAAGGTAGCCCCGATTATTGCTGACTTAAGCATCGGAGTGTCTACCCCGAGGATCCACCTCAGGGCTTTGCAGGTTTATTCGAAGTGAAGACGCGGACCGAAGGAGGACTTCTGGTTTGGTGCAGTTACAGTTACTTTTGTTAAGACGTTTTTTTGGACACATTTCATGGCTCATTCCGTATGCAAATTTAAGTAGTTTTCATAGATAAATCTGTATGAAATTTTTTAATGGAATTCATATCATTAGGTCGTGATCATGTGTAATGAGATTGAAATGATTGACCAAATATAAAATCTTCCTTGACCAGCCAGTCCTGAGACTGAGAGGTCTTTACCTCGTCTAGGAGGTGGAAGAGCACAAAAATTCCAGCTACATTGGTAAGATGAGATTGTGCTGGGCTTTTACGTTATTAAGTCATGAATCGAAGGTTGGGCTAAATAACATTCCTTTTACTTCTTGTTTGTTTTTTTCTTCTTTTTGTAATTTTTTCATTTGTTATTATTATTATTATTTTGCCGCCTAGAATAAAGTAGATGAGAAAGAAAAAGAAGGGAAAAAAGGGGGAAATTCAGCCATTGCATCATTTGAGATGAGGTTAATGGATTTAAAGGGTAGATGGAAGGTGGATAATTAGCTCAAAGCGAATGATTAACTCGTTCTGAAGTTTTCGCTGTGATACTTTCTCCTCCTCTATTAGTATTATACCCTCCTTTGCACTTAAATATATAAGACATAATGGAAATCTTAACTTTTTTAAATTCATCGTATGATTAGATATTTAATATTTTAAATATTAGGATGTTTTTAAATATTAAAATATTTCGATTTTTTCTTTTTTTTATATAAAATTTCACATTTTTTTTATCAAAAAAAAAAAATCACAATTATTACTTAATAGTTATCCCGTAGCTGAGCAAACAAATCCTTTTTTTTTTTTTTTTATATTTTTCAAACAAACCCTTATATTAATTAAGAGGTCACGTCATCAAATTTAACAGAGGGGTAACGAAGAGATAAAAAAAAAACTTTAGTAACAAAAAAATAAACTTTTTAAAGTATGAGGACTTAAAAAAATTTTTTGTTGAAGTATAGGATTAAATTTTACGTTTAATCTTTCCATATTGAAGACCATTTTAGTATAATTTTTTGGGCCGAAGAAGACGTTTTTGTTCTTCGTCCCATTGCGTGTTGACTGTTGAGTCAAGCCAAGAGAGCTCAGCATAACAAACGGACCAGAGGACTGTTGGAGCTGGCAAGCCGGGCAGGACAAAGTCTAACACGTAATTGCTCATAAAAATCGCCCCATAAATCTCTAGTGCTTTTGGCGCAATAACCACCACACCCAAGATTGTAGTGCTGTTTGATCGTGAACCAAGTCTCTAGTGCGACTTTAGGCAAATTTAGGGACCCACCAAGTTGGGTCACCTAGGCGATTAGTATGCCGGAGTCCCTACACGGCTACACCTTATCGTTCATTTCCTATAAGGAAGAGTGTGAATGCAATGACCACACGACTGATGCCTTTTTTACGAAATTCAATTGGACTCACTCCATTTTGTGCACATACTTATTTTATGTAGAATATAAATGATGACTTAAGTTATTTTATATAATTTCTGCTAGAAAATTTTTTATATAATATAAATATTTTATTAATTATTACTACTTTATAAGCTATATATATATATATATATTTACTCACACATCACACTTATACAAAATCTCAACTATTCATCTTTTCAGTTTTATTTTATATAATTTCTGCTAGAAAATTTTTTATATAATATAAATATTTTATTAATTATTACTACTTTATAAGCTATATATATATATATTTTAAAAAAGGGGAAAGATCATGAGTATGTGTGAAGACTGACCCCGCGCCCTAACTGAGAAAAAACAAGATGGAAGAAAATGTACAGAAATTCTACCTTCATCAATGGGGACAGGACTGGCTAGTGGCTTCCTTGATATGGCAGGCTGGACTTTTACCTTTCCTAAAAGAAACCAAAGACAAATTATCAATAAGAAAATTGTTTTAGGCAATCAACCCGCTTTGTAAAACAGTTTTCTCTTACCAGATATTGTTTACGATAAATGAGGTTTCTATATATGGTCTCTGAGATGCTTATTGCTGGGCAAGCAAGAATATAATCTAGTAATGGTGTTTCATTACCGGGTTTCTCTTCTTCTTCTTCTTCTCTGCGTGCTTACATTCATCGGTTTTGACATTGCTGAATCTGCTAACTGCTACAACAACGGGAACTTCACTGTAAACGGAACGTATGGCAGGAACCGGGACCTCGCTCTCTCTTCTCTAGCCTCTAATACCTCAGAAAATGGTGGTTTCTACAATACCAGCGTCGGTGAAGATCCCAACAAAGTGTATGCTCTAGCGCGTTGCAGGGGAGACCATTCTGCAAAGGATTGCTCCAGCTGTATCAATTCAACAATCCAAGATCTCATCACCAACTGTCCAAACCAAAAAGAAGCAATTTTCATGGGAGATTGTACGATACACTATGCAAATCGCTACATCTTCGGAATTCTTGAGCAATCTCCGCATTATGAATTCTATAATACAGGTGATCTCACAGTAAATTTGACACAGTTTGATCAGATTTGGGAGAGTTTATTGGATGGTTTAGTGAGAAATGCTTCTGCTGGAACTTCTAGGCTTAAGTTTGCCACAGGAGAAGCAAAGTTAACACCATTTCAAACAATTTATGCCCTTACGCAGTGCACTTCCGATTTATCTCAAAGTGATTGTGATTTCTGCTTGAGGCAATCCGTCCTTAATTTCGAAAATTGCTGCCATGGGAAGCAAGGAGGTGGTGTTCAGAAACCAAGCTGTTTTTTCCGGTGGGATTTGTATCCCTTCTATACCCCTCTTCCACCTCCACCTAGCGGTCCTCCTCCGGTTTCTAGCAGCCCTTCTCCGGTTTCAAATTCAAATAATACCACAACTGCAAAAGGTAAGTACATCTTTCCATGGAGAAATCGATGTTATTCATATTGGGTAGAAGATAAAATATGATTGCAATCGCTTTGTGTAAAACATCAAAAGGAAGCATAACATAAAGCGCATATTAAGTACAAAAACATTTTTCTGGTTTTGCAGACAACAGACGAATTGCTACACAAACTCTTATAATCGTTGTTGTTGTTTCAACCATTGGCTTCATGGCAATTCTTGCCATTACTTGTTCCCTTCTCCGAAGGAG